GTAACGCGTTGCAAGTCTCGGAACACTCCATGCGAATAAGAGCATACCCCGTTAAATGCCGGTTCCAAGAGGAACTACGCTCCGCGAACCCCCCTCAAAAGGAGCACAATGTTTTGCGTGTGATGGTGAAACCCCGCCGTGTTCTACTCCTAGCGCGAATCCAGAGCGGCCATCGTACGCGGCGACGAATGAGAAACTGTCTCCCGCCGACCGTTTTCGCACAAAACTACTGGGACCCCTTTGTCAAACCCGCACCGTTGCGATATTCCACCGAAGCGTTTATCGGAAACTCGCGGGAAATGCATTTGTTCGAGTAGTCGGCATCAGCAAGACCGTGGCCACTTCGTTCGACTGTCGCAAATATCTCTTACGTATATATGGCACTTGCAAAGTATCTCCCTGGATTGCTGTGCTCGGCGCAACATCTGTATCCCATGCGTTGAGGAAATCCAAGCCCCAGCATGATATGGAGTTAAGGCAAGGGATTGCAAAGAATTACCCTTGATATTGAATGAGCAACAACATCTTCGCCTTCGAATGCGCGCCCGCGTACCTTGCAATCAAAGCAGGCATGGGGGCAGCGGCCGTCGCAAATAGCGTCCGAACAGAAGTTGTGGCATCTCTCACGATTCTTTTTCACGTTAACTCGATACTTCCATGGAAGCGGAAGAGGCAAATGGTTGCACCACAAGACGACCGTTTTTACGACCGTGGTTGTATCAGCATTCCAACTTCAAATATTCTTGTCCCCCTGCGGTTTTTCTTGACAACTTTTCCCCTATCATTATCTACGACCACCGCTGTCCACCAGTTATTTCGTGTGGCTGGCCGCCGAACTGTCAGAATTCCAGGCAACCCATAAGTCCTGTGTGTACCGTTGGGTCCTTTTCACGCTTACTGAGGTTTGCTCTTTCTCCTGATTGGTTGGTTTCCATATTTCACATCTTCACCAACCATGGTAGCAAACGACATCACCTACAGATGTCCACCCTACCGTCGAAGTGAACGTCTTCGCTAGACATTACCCGGTGTAACCCTATTGGTGGCTGGTTTGTTCGGGGAACTGTTCTGGGTCACACGGACATCTGACGATGAAACAATAGCGAGGCTCACAACCCTGCAGAATCCAATGCGGAAGTTTGTTCTGTGAGTGATTGTACGTTTTTTGGTCTGATGACTGCAGGCTGAGGTATGAATGCACGCGATTCACTCAACTGCTACCTACCGACACACCTTCCAATTGTGTTGTCGTGCCAATAGGGACCAAGGCGGACGTCCAACAGCTGCTCCCGGACTGCGGCGTGTATTGGCACTCCCGGTCTGATTGAACAAGCGACCCCGGCGACTGTACACCAGCATCTCGAGTAAGGCCAGAAGGCCGAAGGGTGGATGCTTGTGGTCTCAGCGTGTTGTCCCGTGTCACTTTCGTCCTGGGACACGGTGGACAGGAGGACACCTTTTCCATGCGCGCCCACGAATGTGGGGTTGTGAGTACCGAATGACGTTTGGAATCGGTAGCTCATGTGCTTGGGGAGAAGGAAGATGGCAGGCAAAGTGTTTAAGAGTTGTTGCTTCGTGTCATCGGTTATTTGCCGTCAAGGGAACGGTCCGTGTTTAAACTGTTTCCCCACGAACTCTGGTAAGTCGGGGGCGCCAGGGTAAGCGAATGAGGGGGTTGACGATCTTTGTCCACGTACGGCGTAGGCTCTATTGTTTCGTACATGGCTTCCACCAACAGGGGCTTTTCCCCCACGCCGCTCTGACCGCTGTTTTTTTGCTTGGGGAGTGGAATATTTTTCAGTGAATGTCCTCTCCAAATTCTTCTCTTTGTCGATGAGACTGTTTCGGAACTTTGACGTGACTATTAACATTTCTGTCAAATTAGCCTTGAGAATCTTCTGTCCATGCTCGTCTTTTTTGTGTTTCTTTGTTGCCCTTTTCTGTTTTTTGCTTCAGAAACGAGCTTGTTCAGTGTGCTTGCGCGTTTCCCTCGACGTGCTACTTAGGTAGGAGTGATGGTCAGGCTTGAAGTTGCCGTATGTTTTGTTCGTAAGCTTGGTACGGTCAATATTGCCATTGTTCAGGTCTACCTCCGCTCAAAAGTGCCAGCAGCATGAGAGAAGTACGGTGTTCCGTTTTCATCTTGCTCAGCCTCGTTTTCATTTTCAGCCGCTAGTCCCCGTGCCCTTGTTTTTCCTGTCGTTGATTGAGCGGGGGCCTGCGAGGGGAGTTTCCTCGTTTCATTAGCTGCAATCACCTCATCCTGTTTTTTCGTCATGCCTTCGGAAGGGTTCCTACGAACGTGATTGTTGTCTTGGTTGTCTGCTTCCAGTGCACGCAGTCGACGGGTCTTTCGGTGTGCTTGTCGAAGAAGGTGGAGAGCACGTTTGCTTGGTTTATGGCATGAATGTACGTGCTGTCGGCCAGCCGCCTCCATGGTTCCTTCGTTTCCCCCTCGGTGTCTTGCGGTCAGGTGGCGTCGCTGAATACCGTCGTGCTGCTGACTCACTCACAAGAATGGTACCGTTTCCTTGGTAGATCAGGGGGGTTTCTGGAGCATCTGCGATCAGATTCTTGGGAGGGCACTTATCTATGTAGTAGTTCCTCGTTTCAATATCCGTCAGTACCCACGGTAGAAAAGGTCGGCGTATTTTCATTGTTGGCTTGTCGTACTCCCTGTGCCATCATGACGACCAAGGTCACGAGCGACTTCTAACTTAACGATGCTAGCTAGCATTGAAGACTGAAATACTTTGTTCTGTGGCACACTGTTTAGGTTGCGTGTCCTCCGTTTGCGAACGTTTTGCCGTGCGAACGAACAACGCCGAGGGGCAAAGCGTATTTTAGGGAACTCATATTCTCTGGAGTTGACTGGCTTGCATCGGGGGTGGTGAGGTTCGTTTGTTCATCTCTTGGCAGCCATCCTTCTTTCGAGTGAACGTGGGCGATATATAATCGATTGTGCCCTTTCGGCATGTCATCCACGCTATAGCCGCTTCGCACGTTTGTTTGGGTGTGGATGCCGATGTGCTCGCGTTGTATGTGCTTTCGTTTGCAATGATTAACCTCTTTGCCCTGCACACTTTCAAAAGACAGCGTCTTTGGACCGCTGCCAAGTTCAAAGGATGCTCGGTGGCGTAGGGTCCTCTTGCGCCGTGCCAGGGTTGGTTCATGGCGCATGGGCTCCACATGTGGAGGGGTGACGGATTGACACAGCCGAGGTTCCGGACAGCAGTCGTTCATCTCAATTCTTGTCTTGTTCCAGAGGTTATCACAAGGCCTGGACTGCTCGACTATCCGTGTGAGGAGATGAGCGAGACATACCTGAATTTCGACGCGCTTTTAGGTTCCAGTGGGGACGAACGCTTGCACGCCAAGGATACATTAATTATTTTCCAGTTGATGTTTCAAGAACTTGCGCCTCCTCCCCATGGTCGGAGGAATGCGCGAAAACGACTCATCTTCCTCGGTTGTTTTGCAAGTCCATTGTACACCAAGGACAGTTCCACCTATCGCGTGCCCGGGCGAACAACCGCGGCGGTGCCGAAGGACACATTCGAGCCGATGTCGCAACTGTTGCTTGCGACCATGCCGCTGCAGTTCATACACACAAGATAGGGAGGATTCCCAGACAAGTCTATTGCCATTATTTTCGTCCCATGTGCGTCGGGCAAAACGTGTGCGTCTGTCAGTATCTGTTTGAAGCAAAATCCGGGGGTTACACTGGATTATTTTCTTTGCATTCTCTCTCCGCATCCACTGGCGGCGCTTGACTCTCGTTTTTTTCGCGAGCAAAGTCCACCATGGTTGGCAAACAAACGTTAAGAGTACCAGTAATCTATTTTAAAAGCTGTTTTCATCGGCAGCACCGCCGGGGACAGCAGCTAGGGTGCGTGTCCAACAACGTATGATTCATACCGAGGTAGGTGGAGACCAGGGGAGCGGTCGCGGACCGCATCCATCCGTCCCTCTCGTCTCCGGGAGTGAGCGGAGACAGAGAACCGAGCGAGCACGAAACATGAAACACCCCAGCCAAAAACGGCAGCTGCCCGACCCATGAGATTTACCTGGTTCTCGAGGTACTGACCCCACCTGATTATGAGCCAAACCAATACGTAGTCACTTTTGGTTGACATCCCACGAAAAGTCACCGAATTATCGTACTCCGCACGGCTACGCTAGCCTAGTTCTGATGTACCATTGCAGTCACAATAAGTCGGGACATCCGCTGCAACGGTAGAATACGTTCACCAAACAACAAAATCATGTTGGGAGGGAATCAGGCTATAGCCCGCGCTCACGGCCGAATGGAGACGGGACATGGAAAGGGGTTGTAACAAGAGAGTAGCGCCCGCTCCTCTGTCCCCCCCGGTTTACGTAGAGACCACACACGGACACATGATTGGCGGTGAGATACACCGAACAATAAGAACACGATGATGACTAGACTACAGTTCCAATCAAGTGGAAGTTTAGGGGAGGAAGACAAAATCAGGCATACACGTGGTCATGAAGAGAGAAAGCAGGTAGAGACGCTTTAACATGTCTTCGTCACCCTTCCAGCAATGACGGCTCGCTCACGGTACAGATAGAAAGACAGAACAAATAAAAACTCAATTTTCCAAACGAACGCCTGCGCAAAAAAAGACAACAAATCCTTTGTCCATGGTGCACTGGTTGTCTTTGGCCGCACCGACCGTGTGCGTACTTTCCACGATGACCAGAGCCTGACGTACTTTTCGTCGTCCTAAAGACAACCACACACAAGTGACCCCAGCCGCCGCGCGAAGAGCAAGCGACGTCTATGATAGCAGGGTCCGTAACAGCCTAGACACCAAAAAAGGCGAGCCCATCGATTTCCCTAAGCGGGTCGCAACACATGCTTCAACCTTCCTCCTGCGGCATCTCCATCCACAAGACGGGGTCACTGTCCAAGGTCGAAACACGCCGTCATCGCGCGTCATCCAAAGCCACGCTTTGGTATCACCGTGTCCTTGGCGTCACAGAGCTCGAGCTTCCTGAAGCATTCGCTGGTGCGTTCGCCTGGCCACAGGAGGGCGGGTGGGTGGCAGCGGGAATAAATCCTCTGGGGAATGTATCTTGGAACATAGGTGGGGGTACGTGAAAGTCCGTGCCGCTCTCTGTGGGCCACAGTCGGTTATAAGTTTGTGGTAGCCGCGTATTAGGCAAGCACAGGGTCCATGAGTGTCATCACAGCTGCCATCCTAAAGCAGTACTGGAATGAGTTGGGCCCCACCACCAAATGCCAGTATCGAACAAATGCGTGTTTCGGGACCTTGATCTTCGTCCAAGCCAATCCGCCTTTCCCATATCCTCTTCCTTGGACTTTGGAATGCAGAAGGGAGGACGTGGAGTGATTGCGGCGAAAAAGAAGCTCATGGGTTAATGAATCATGGAAAATTTGACCCACGTCGTGATTCGATACGCCAACTGCGCAAGCAGCCTCTCCGTGTTTCTAACCGACACATGTTGCAGAGTGCGGCCGCCCAGTGACGGAAAGATAATGATTCGCACGTTTCGCTTTTGCCACACAAGCCCGTACCAGTATTAGTAGCGACTCTGGCTGGGTGAGTTGGGCTCTTGCCATAGCTCTGTAAGGAAGTTCAGCAAAACACAGATCAACGTAGGTCAGAAAAACGAACCTGGCCCATCGCCGGAGAAACGCCGCCTTCACTTTCTCGAACAGACCCCGAGCAACTCCAACCCCCTCCCGCACTAGCCCCAACCCCTGGGACCCCGGCAGAGGGGACGTAGGCGGTGCGATCTGACAACACCCTCTTCTTGCCGGCGTCGGCCGCCGATATCGCCGACATCGCCGCTCTCGTCGGAACAGCCCCCTTTCGCCGCAGGGATGTGGATGCATAAAAAAGGGACAGCAGGACAACACAAAACTCTGAGGCCTGCTGTTACTTGATATGATTACGCTCGTCCTCAGGTACATATGAATCTCTAGCAAAATATCTTATGGTGGTATGCAAAGGAGCGGGGTGTTTCGGTTACGGATGGGTACCGCTGAAAGGGTAGACAGTAGTGGATTGTGTCCGTTGACGAATCACCGGGTTCTTCAACTGTTTGTCCACACGTGTCCATTCATCCAAGACCATCGTCAAGCGGGGCCAAACAAGGCGCCGCACACCTTGTGTAGAGCGGCGGGAGTCGTGGAAGCAGCGGGAGTCATCAACATCGCTTGCGGATGCTGCTGGGCGACTGAAAACGACGAAGACATCGACGCGGGCGGTTGTGGTGATCCCTGCGACGCTTGGCTTGTTCCCGTACCGGAGCTGGAGCTGGAGCCAAAGCCCGGCAGGGACGGCTTGGGTGAGGCGGTCTGTAAACAGGGAATTCCGCAGGAGAGCGACGAGGGCGTATCAGCACCGCCAGTCATATTTTGTTTTAAAAAAATTAAAAAGCTCCAATTTTTGTAATAATTCTTCTTTTCTTAGTGTTCAACGATCGTACATGGAAATTAAGCGGGACGGGGCCGCGACGGAAAACGGAACATGGTAAATAACGACAGTTGGGCTGCTCTATTTCCCGAAACAGGATAAATACCATCCTGCGGGCTGGGCTGCACGGAACGAAATTCCTGTGCCGGGATGTACAATGGATTCATGCAACAGGGGAAAAAACACGGCAATTGCGGAAACACCCTGGCGGGCAGTCAAATCTCACCGAAACGTTCACCCCCGCCTCCGAGTCAAAGTTGAGGAAGCCTTCCCCGGTGACCATATTGATCACCGGCTGCGGCCCGGCGGCGCTCGATGCCGCAGCAAAACGGCCCTGAAGAGTTGTTGTGGTCATCGGACATGGAATGAGGGCAGGGAGAGAGCACCACACCAACGCCGTAGCAAAACAAGATTCCGGGATATACGAAGGCACCAAACCTGGCTGAATAGAGGGAGAAAAGGAGAACGGGAGGTTCAGGGGGTAGGGAACGAATAGCGAAGACATTGTATCAAAACCTGTGCGGCGACGGTTGCCTCGACGCCCTCGCTGAGATCCCTGTTGATGGCCTTGCAGATGGGGTTGGAACACAAAAAGGAGTTTCCCTGGGAGTGGAGGCTGTCCACCGGAGGGAACGGGGTCGCATCCTGCACACAAGGAGAAACACGAGCACAGACACCAACAACACAGATATGACGAAACACGATAAGTTTGGGCCCCTGAACGTAACAATTGAAGCGGACTGCCTCCACTTACTACTTTCCCCACATCTGACAGGTACCATAGTACATTACGCCCAACTACAGATATTATCTTTTGAGAATGCATTGCACTCCTTGACGAGAACGCCCCCCCTACTCCACCCCAAAGCGAAGAGTGATTGTTTTTTCCCGCCATCGTAATGGCATTCAACCAGTCCACCCTTAAGAAGACTACGAGCAAGACCGCCGAAACAGCCCAAGTCTAAAGCAGAAACCCCCAGGACATGTGGCAACCCCAAACTCCAGAATTTGTGATGTACCTGGAAATGGCCTCGGCCCCACACTGCGAAGTGCTGCCCGCCCTGTTCGGGCTCCAGAAGGCTGTTGTAAATGTTTCGCGTGATTTCGTATTCTTTGAACCACCCATGCTCCAGGAAGATCACCTGTAATAAAATTGTTGCCGGCGCAGAACATTTGCCGGCACCCCCAACAAGGGGTAGGCCACAGGATGACCATGAAAGTGCGTGCTTCAGTCACTAACATAATCGTACTTGAAAAAATGTTCGGTTTCGGGCAAAACAGTCATGACGCAAAGGACGGTGCGAGGGCTTCAACCATAATGTACATGGCAAGACACACAACACTGTTGGACCGGCGACCACGCTGCTACGAACAACGGCCGTCAACACCCCGCTGTATTACTGTTGGACGATGCCCGACACAGGCATAGTCCGATGGGAGGCTTCAAAAGCGGCCCATAGCGATTCGAGCTTCGTAAGCGCAAGCTAAATGACATGGAAAACACGGGATGATCAACAAGATGGGCAATATCACGGCGGCATCAACCATGGAACACTACCAACAACCACACAACAAGACACAAGGTAGACAAGGAACTGTACAGACACGACACGCTCTGCTGGTGATGGCTTACCAGAATGCAGCGTGACAAATGCCAGCACATGACCTGCCGCAGCAGCCCCGGGTTTTCCGCTAGGATGCCCACCACCGGCTCCAGCACCTACGATACCAACAGTAGACGAGAGCAACCCAGTCGTGGACACGGCAGTCAATAAGTTATGGGAACAACGTCAGGGAGTTTGCGCGAAAACACGAAAGTTTGCTGTGGAGGTTTGGAACGAGGAGCTACAGTAGACGGCTCTACGTGAGCACAGCATGGCGCGCAGGTTTTCGGACAAGGAAAGCTTGCGAAGCACCTGCTGCCAAGGCAGTCTCGTGATTCACGTGTGAGCGTAACAGCGCGTCCAACACGCGTGGCACTACGAGAACAAAACAAAAACAACCAGCCCTTGCGAAAACAAGCCCTCATGAAAACACTCCGCGCAGACCGAGTTGAAGCTTTCGTTCCGTATTGTCGCGGTACGAAAATGATACTTGGATACGTCATTTGCGGGAGTAACAACGGGGTCGCCCAGACACACCGACACAAACGGCACACGGACGTCTTAGGATGAAGGCAAAAATTGCTGCGCCCGGTATTCCACGCCAACCGTCTAGGACATCCACCAAGCAATCTTACGTTTGCTGCGGATAGAAAAACAAGCCACACAATGGCCACAGCAAAAAAAAACGAACGTTCCCCAGACCGTTTCGCATCCACGACGTTGTGGACACGGATTAACCTACCCGTCACCCCTGCCAAAATACGAAAAGCCTCACGCAAGAGGAAAAACGTTGCGTCTAACAAGATTTTTGTGCAAGGTTTTTGTGAAACGTACACGTGGCGGCCTTGAGGACGCTGCCGTGGAGGAAAACAAGCGGCTCCGACACCTCTTGCAGTCACCGCAGGCGAGAAACAAACTACCAAAACGGTAACATCACCACCAGCACACACCTCCAGCCCGTCTTGGCTCCTACCCAAGCGTAGCAAGATGTAGGCCAACACCCCCTTCACGAGCACGACGCCGAGAGCTCCGAACGAGGACGAGTTGTCCCGGCTCATGCCGTCAGCACGTGTCAGGATCGGCAAGAGGGAGTTCAACTCCGCCATCACCTGTATGGCGGGAGAGAACCAAACAGTGAGACCGCTGTCTCGTCGATCCACACTTGGAACCAAAATACTTCAGAATAACCACAAGGTGATCTTTACCGTAACCGTATAAGTTGCCAAATGTGTGGGGGGGGGGGGGTGTAGTCATAGTCGTGCATGCCGTAGTCGTTAGACCATTGACCTCGCATCCCTACAAAGCCGGGACGGAGCACGCCGGGTTCTCACCGGACCAGGCTCTCACATCCCAAGCGCGAAGCGCCGTGTGGTATTCGGCGAGTCGCATGAAGGGTGCCCTGCATCCTGCGAAGGGTGTTCGGCATCTTGTGCTTACTTCCTTGCGTACGGATGACAGCTGCGTATGACTTAATTTATTTTCTGGTGCGTTAACTTCCAGAAACAGTTGTAAGCACTGTGTAACTGCCTCGAGGATGCTTGACCATTTTAACACAACGTGGTGCGATCATCCCCCTTGCGCGGAGTGAGGGTTCTCCACCCCGCACAACATGATCTACTCGACCACCATTATGTTTACCGCGAAAGCAGAGGAAAAAAAAAACGGTAACCTGGTTGCCGAGTCCACGAAGGGCGGGGCGGAGGTGGGGGGTGGGGGGGTAATCCGGCCTAGAAGCAGGAACTACAGAATAATGACGGTTGAGTCGTCAGGGTCGGGACAGGGGGCTCAACTCCAGAGTCACTACGTGAACGACATTGGACACACACAGCAACAATCGAACCAAACCTGCCGGGTGCCAGGTGACGGGCTCCTTATCGCCATGAAAAAACGGGATTTTGCCCTCCGTCGGAAAGTACGTCGCAAACTACAACCTTTAGCTCCGTCCCAGCCATTTTTTTTGTCGCTCACGCCGAGAACTTTACCATGAGTTAGCCATACGTCCAAGCAAAACATCGTTTGGTGCATAAAACAGCTACAGCAGCAGCGGCAGCCTAACACAATGGTACTCGCCTGCGCCTTGGAAATGGTGTTGGTGAGTTCCTCCGCGGCAAGATGGGCCAGGTCGTACAAGGCGTATGTCAGTACGTTGAGGACCTGTCAAATGAAGGCATACATTTTAGTGCAATGTTGTTTGCCCATAACTCAGTACATCGCGTCTACTATACCGCCGACAAAACAGAAAAAACAAAAACACGAATACACACACACACATATTTGTGTTTTCAGCCGCACTGAGACGACGTCTTTTCATTGGTCAGCCGGTTAGCGCGGTCGATGCTAGTAACAAAACACACATACTCACAAACACACACAAAGCCGGGTCGATGTTACAAAGAAACACACACACCATGAATCGGACCCTTCTGAGAGAGCGCACCTGGTAGCAAGGAGCCGCCGCGCCCGCGTGCTGGAGGAGCTTGGGTATAGCCGACAGGGTGCAGTTGTGCACCTCCGAGCAAACGCGGTAGAACTGAAACACCAGCTCGTGGTCCACCGTCACCTGCGGGAGTTGCGTCGCCACCGCCTTCGCGAACTCCATGTAGTTGCTGCCGACCAGCGCCGACACAGGGAAACAGGGGTCCCGGATGCAGCGTCAGCAACGAAGAGGTCGAAACAATGAGGGAAGGCCGAGGGCACGTTTCTGACGGTCAGCACCAAAACCGGGAAACTTGATTAAGGACTGATCCGGGCGGGGCACGAAGGCTGATTCTTATACATCTGGCTTCCTAATCCTAAAAATCGGCAAAAGTCCCGCTTCGCATACAGCCGGATTCGTCACTTTTTCGGGTCATCATATTCTAGCATCAGGAATCCGCGTTGCGTTCACCTAAAAAGCTGGGCAGAATTCAGGATGGTGCTCAGCCGGATTTTCTACCCCAAAAGTCACCGCTGGTGAACCCAGCCGACATAACCGGCGAGTGCGACCTGACTTCTTGATGTATCGAGCAAAGGAGGGTTTCGCTATTCTGCAAGGTGGTAATTGATGGTCGATCGGCACGCGTGCGTAAAAAACACATATCGCACTCCACCAAACACGGAGACGCCGAAACAGGCCAAAACGCCACGAGGCAACAGAAAGAGCCGCTTTTTGTCAGAGGCGGGAGGCCAGCGCAACTGATTTCTCGCTCCCTAGGCCACCAATTGAAGGCAGACCGGCCAGGATGTGCCCTCTGTTCCTTGCTCTCTGCCGGGGGATATTTGCTCAGCAGCTCGTACTCTCAATCGACGGAGAGAAGCATGCGCGTGGTTTCCCTTTCGAACTGTGATTGTTTTCTGTTCTGTGTCACTTGAGAATAGACTGATGTATTGAAGACCTGAAAACAATTTTCAACAGACAGCTTGTGCCCACGCAGACGACGATTTCGAATTGTTGGGTCAACGTTACACCTCTGTACAATATGGGCTTTAGAATTATTCATTAAACCCTATACAATAAAGACCATATCGATTTGGCAATAGCCAAACCAAATGCTGTATCGGTTAATGTCATACTAAAGCCTACAAAAAAAAAAGTAGCAATAGCTCTTACTATTAAATAATACCACACTAAAACCCTCGCACACAGAATGAGTCCCCATACCAAACGCGAATAATGAAGGGAGCAACATCTGGGCGGGGGGGGGGCAAGACGTCAGAACTCCCGCTGCACGTGCCCTCTTGGGTACCTATTGAGGTGCGGGGGTCAGGGGACGGGGGGGATGTCAAGAGAACGGACTTTCCCACACGAAAGTTTCGTTCGAAAGTGGTCGAGAAGGAGGGCAACCCCCCCCCCCCCCTAAATTCTGCCGCAAGGGGATCTAAACTCTATTTTTCCGTACACCAACGCCACCTGCCACGCACACGCGGGGATCGGTAGCTCCATCGCTTACCGTGTAGCCGCCGCATTTCCCATGAGGTCGTGGCAGTAGGCCGTCACCATGTAGGCGCTCATCGTCTCGGAGCTCACGAAGTCGAAGGAGTTGGTCAGTGCCTCCCGCACGTTACGCAGGTATCCTACCACCTGGGGGAGGGGGGGGGGGGGGGTGAGAAGACCGCCGCAGCTTGCCTCAGAACTTTGAGTGCTCCATGGTTATTTCGGACACTTTTGGCTCGATCTTCTGCTTAACACATGGTGTAGGCAGGGAGCACTCCTCTGTCTGAAAGAACGTGGCAAGAAGATGCCGACAACAGGAGCTCCCATTTGGGCACACCAGCCTCTTCCAGTGTACATGATTCACTTCGGTACGCTTACACACGTGGACGGAAACAGAGAATAAGGTGGTGCAAATTGAAGGCGTCACACATCTTTTCCCGTCAAGGGTGGTCGGTCGAACGAAGCCTACCTGTGTGTGCCCCTTGAGCAACGCGCCGATGGTGATGCAGCCTTGGATCACGGCCACCCGAGCGTTCTGAACAAACCAAACAGCGACGACACGCAATCAATCCGGTGTGTGATGTGCGGAGTTCAGGGTTATGTTTTGTGAGCCGGGAGTTTGGTCGAAAATACAAACGGTGCACGTAGCGCTCTCGGTTCGTTCAGAACAGTAGTGATCATTCGGCACATCCCAAGCATTCCGTATGACCGTCGCTATCAACAGCACAAGAACTGACACGAATCAACGGAAAAGAAACCGGCAAACTCCTGTTCTGGCGGCAAGCACGAACAACACATCTCTAAATAGACACAACCATCAACCAAACCTCCCAAAGCGACGGAAAATCAATAAATTCTGATCTCCTGAACGCCGAGGGCAGAAATGCTAGCGCCAATGGCGCAAACACAACAAAGCCTAACAAAAAGAGAAGCAAAAACATACGTCCAACCAACAGCAGACAACAACAAAAGACAGCAGCACAAACCCTACAGCTACAAATAGCGCCCGCCACCTCTATAGTTGTGGCCGAGGCTGGTCCTACTTGCTCTTGTTAACAGTGGCTGCTATACAATTCGTATTGCAACATAGGGGTTCTCAATCGGACTCGCAAACTGTCTTGACCGGGCCCCCAAACGGTGCCCAAGCTGTTAATGTAAGCTTTGATATGAATAGCTGTTCTTAGGTACGCAGTTCATCAGTACCGGCACTATCTGTACTTGTGTTGACGACCACGACCAAGTACCAGAAGCACGTGTCACCTGTCTTCTATACTCCTCGTCTCCGTGGAACGATCGTTCCGTCAGGGCCGCCGGCACCGGGTAAAGAGCGTCCCGCAAGATGTCTTGCGTCGTCAGCGGGACAAACTGGGAAGGAAGGAGATGGCGAACAAAACAAAATAAACACCATCGTAACGACCAAATAGCAAGTATTGCGCCGTCGCCAGTAGAACAAAGCCTCCTCGCAAAAACTCGACAATCGTGACACAACGCACAGGATTCGGCGAAGACGGGTGAGCTCTGGTGTCAACTTTTCACGACGTCGACGATTGTGATGGAGGTGGTCGTCGTGGGGACAATGATGATGACATCGACAACTGCTGATGCCGTAGGAGGCACTGAGCGAGATGTGAACACTCAGATCCGATTGGTCAACAATGTGATAGGTTTGGACGCCCAGTTACCCTACGGGACTAAGCTGTATACATACGCTTTGAGGGCGCGGTATTTCCACGCTGCCCTCCAAGCTGCACACGTCTTGGCGCTGAGCTGCACAGTTCCTACTATCTCGACCACCATACCTCCACCGTTACAGTCACCAGCAGCCTGGACGATCAATAGTGGTCCGGACATCCGCTTGTGGACAGGCTCAGGGGCAGGCGTGTCATAAGTTTCCGGGTCACTCAAAACACGATACTTTCCAGCCCTATCTCCAATGTACCCTGTGATGCTTACTTCATGTTCGTGTACCTCCCACCCCCCTCGTTGCAGTGCCCCCAAAAAAATAGCCACTGCTGCGCCAACTCACCGCGTTGAACTCCTTGAGGAAGAAGTTGAGGTAGGTCACGTCCACCTTGCTCGTGATCCCTCCGCCCGACAACGCCGCTGCCATCTGTGGAAAACCCAGCAGCATCGGCGCAGAAGCGTAGAAGAGACGGGGTCAGCTTTGTGATGTTGGAAACGGTTTAAGTTCGGGCGTACGTTCCGCGTGGCTTAGGGTACAGGCGGTGTAATGTGCATGTCTTCCACACAGCATAGAAGAAATAATACTACGCATACGATCAAGTGCGATGACGACGAAAAAAAAACACGAGCGTACCGTACAGGACGAGAGCCAGACACGTGGTAAGGCCTCGTCGTCAACAACCAAGCGCGGAAACGAACACACTCTGCCGTTGAATATTGAACAAAAACAAATCGTTTTGGGAATGCAGACGCTTATTCCAACGAGACTCGGTCTCCGCAGAAACTATTGAGAGAAATGGCCTTGCTAGAACTTGCCCGCACATACATGCACACGCAACAGGACGCACGATACCAATCCCCGGCGTGCACCCACACAAGAGGAAAAGTTTTGCCCACCGCGAACTTGGGGGCGAGTGGCTACACAAAAAACAACGGCAGCCGGGCGCACAGTCGTCCTCAATTGAGCCGACACCTGGTGCCTTAATAGTACTAGTGGCAGTCGTGAAGAGGTATCGCAGAAGCCACACGCAGAGTCCCGTCTTCTATCCCTGTCGCGTAATATTGCGCGGAGGTGTGGATTGCGCTGTTTCAGGCACGACCACTACGCCTGGTCCCATGACCCTTACAACCGCAAGCTGTCTGTCCCACTTGCAGGACCCCCGTGCATACGAATCGAGCCTTTGGCCCCCACGACACCAAGCTTACAAACCCAGCCCTGAAAAAAAAAAAAAAATCGCACAGTTGTACATTTACGCACAAATCGTTTTGATATCAGCATAACAATTCTTCAAGACTGAAACAGCTCATTTCTCCATGTACATCAGTCGACGCTCCCCTTTCTCGGTACATAGGTGGGGCACCTGTCCCGAGGGGGGTGGCCCCGCACCCCCGACCGCCGCTGCCGCTGCCGTCGCCGCCGCCACCGCCGCCGCCAGAGCCGTCGCCGCCAGCGCCCCGTTCTGCGAAACGCCTACCCCAGGTATCGGATTCGCCACGTTTGGAGGGGGTACCTTGCTGGAAACAGTCAAGAGAGAGGAGGGCGGGCGCGGGGGTCACTCCCACGGTGGTTGTGGTACACGGATTTTTCGCCGCGGTTACTTCTGTGGAACGACGTGGGCGTTGACAGAATAGATTAACAACGGTGTGCTTGGTTGGAGGTGCTCGACAAAAACAACCCGTCAAGAAGACACAGCGCAACAGAGGCAGGAGAAAGTGAGGGCGGGGGGGGAGGGGGGGGAGGTAGAGAAACAGCATTTGTGGCGTGGCAAGCGGTCCTATTCTGAAAAACTGCCAACTTGGACATTCTCGTCGTAACGGGACGCCTCGTGGGCCTCGTTGTTGAAATTTCAAAACAGCACTTAGGTCTGGTGCTTGGAACCCTCTCGGGCTCGCACTCTATCCCACACCAGCAGTACATCGAGGAAGAGCACTGATAACGTGTCAATCTACCAACCAAGCTGACCTTGGGCCGGAACGGGCGCACGGGATGAAGGTGCACTCTATCTGTCTCCTCTGACATTGTCGGCAGGGCGGAGTCCCCGTCACATTTAACCTGCATCAAAAAGGGCAGCATCAGCAACAGCAACAACAACAACTGCATCAGCAACAGTAGCAGATGCAGCAGCAGAAGCAGCAGCAACACATGCAGCAGCAAAAACAGGGGCATACGCGGCAGGAGGGTATAGAAGATACAATTCTTGGGGGATCGCGACCGCAAGCCTCGCCACGTCGGGCGGATGTTCGGGGCGAACCAGAGGGCGAAGAACCCCAACAAAATAAGGTTGACGCACAAATTCGGTGACAAGAGAGGCCCCCTCTGAGGTTTGTCTTGAATATACTCCGAAACGCGGGGCACCTCTAAGTGCGACCGCTGTGCCATACCAATGATATGCTTCACTGCCGACACTTGCCGACGGGCGTCGTGCAAGTTTTTCTCATGCTTCTTAAGAAATCACAACAGATCAATCTCTTCCCCAGGTGAGAGTCTGCGATAGCGTAGCAACGGATTCAAAGCGTTAGCGGGCACTGTAAGAACACTTACTTTTTCTCGGCTTTTATCACTGGTTTCTCAACAGTGCGGCTTCAACAAACTCAACAAAGTCCAGCCTCCGGCAGGTGTCCCCACTGCTGTGAAGGCTCTAACATGATCCCTCCTGAGGGTATCTCAAGCCGGCAACCTGTTGAGGTTATCTCAAACCAGCAATTCTGTCTTGTACTGTAGTTACATCTTCTGCGGAGGAGGACACCTCCCACTACTGGTCGCTGTGCAATGTAATTCACAAGAAACGCTAAAAGAACCTTTGCTTCGGGCCGGCGATCGAGCAACAAACAGAGCACGGCCGTCCCTTGATTTCTTCGCCGGAATCGAGCAAAATGAACTTGAGGGCCGACTTGTCGTATTTCGGGCCGGGGGGGGGGGTCTCGCGGGAGGCGCGCACTTCGTGTCGCCCCCCTACCGGACATGCCGGCGAGCGCCGCCGAGATGGTGAACGACTGCGAGCGCAAGAGGAGGCCATGTAAAAGAAATTTATGGGATGGTTTGTTTGGCCGGCTCGTTGCATGAGCGCGGTCCGAAAGATGCCACACGTCTGGCGACTACGAGCGCACGAGGGGGCCATGTAGAGACTACAGCTGAGTCTATTTGATGCCATCGTTTCTCACACTAGCCGTTGCCGTCGGTAAAATGTGACACGAGCCTCGAACAACTTCCCCCCCATAACCGGTCGCTTGCGGGATGCCCGTGGCCACGGCGTGTTTGTGTGCTGTTATGGAGGCAGAAGGACCCCTATAGAAGGACCCCCCACCCGGACATGACACGGCAAACACACACGCACGTTGCTGCGGAGTTGTGTCGGTACCCTACGGTCTCGGCAGTAGCGGCAACTGCAATGGCAACAACAACATTGTCGGCATGAACGCCTTCGATTGACTCTATGCTGGGAATGTCCCGCCGGGCGACCAATGTCGTTGTTGGGGGAGTGAGGTGCTCAGACGACCAGACGTATCTCCCTCTCTCTCTCTCTCTCTCTCTCTCTCTCTCTCTCTCTCTCTCTCTCTCTCTCGCTCACCTACACATACATTCACCTCGGCTAGCTGTCCTTCCATCTGACGAGCGAGGGTCTCCGCCACCTTTTCCTGCGCTGCGTGTTGTTCGGCGGCCGACGCCATGCAGTCACCCCCCCTAGCCCCCCCCGTCTCTTGCACGCCTGCATACCCCCGATCGATCTCCGGGGCAACACAAGAAATTCGGTAGCACAAGGAGCGGCGGTGCTACCAAGCAAGGCAGCAGCTGTGGGCAACGAACAAACAACAACAACGAGAGTAACATGGGGGGAGGGGGCGGGGGATCCGGAGGTGTGGCGTTCGGGGAGGATACATGCTACCGGTATGTACTTTATCATGTGGTGATTCTCGGGACTGTACAGCCTCTCCCAATGAGCGGACGCGATTTTTTTTTATTTTTTCGGGACCAAGATGTCAAAACCTGTAACTAACTGCGATTACATATGTAGCCTACCTCTGTGCGCCTTGAGACTTCGGTGGACGTACGCCGGGCGCGCTGCTTGTCTGTATAAACCTGGAAGCCGATCACTTTTGTTCCTCCGCTGCGCTCTATTCTTGTTTGTAACGCGCATTTGTCGCTGCGTGACAAAATACTCCAGTATAAAATTCATGTCAGTTTCGTCCCGACACACCCGTCACGGACACACTCACTTCCCAGGGTACACGTCGGTACTAGTTTTCTAGGCGGATTCAGGCGGAGCGGTACTTCAATGTGGCGGTACTTTTTTAGCTGTAGGCGGTCTTTCGTTGTCCGGCGGTACCGCCTTGGCGGTACCGCCTTTGGCGGTTCCCGGTACTGCCAATTATGGCGGTACTTTTTCGGCGGTACTGCAATATGGCGGTTCTTTTAGGCGGTTCCCGGTACTTCGTTTTTTTGGCGGTACTTCTTCGGCGGTACTGCAAAATAGCGGTACTTTTTAGGCGGTAGGCGGTATTTCGTTAATTACCGCTAGTACCGGGACCGCCCACCACGGCGGAAAAAACGGCGGGAATTTTCCCGAGGTGTACCCTGCTCATTTCCATATTCCACATGGTGCAATACACCAGGCCAGATGATGAGGAGGAGCACGCACCTCATGGTGATGCTGTTCAACAGCTCTCATCGCGGCCTCTCCCCTTCCCTACAGCTTTGTCCGGCGAGATTCGCCCCGAGCCTTCAGGACGAGGTCGCCGGAGCACTCTACAAGTGCGTCGCTCTCGTCCTCAGCGCCCTCCAGCTTGTTGAACCCAGCCGTGACGAGGCTCGCGGTCAACCTCAGCGTACCCCAAGCAAGCGGGATAATAGGCTCAAGGCCTGACATGATTTCACAAGTAAGCAGCTGTCGTCGCCGATGCAACAGCAGAAGGAAATGGTAACCCTCACCTTCACCTGCCTGTCACTGCAGCCGACTGCCCGACTGCCGCCGAACACGATCAAACATGGAAAGGGGTGACATGGAGGCTGGAATAACATGACGCTCCAACGGGAGGTTAGCCCCGTTCGAAACCACCGAAATATGCATATGTTTTTTTTTTGTGAAGAAAACAACAAACAATATGTACAGCAGCAGTTTCATCAAAAGAGGTTTTCATCGTTTTTTTTTATTTTTCTTAATATGACACCACGAAACCATCGTTTTTTATATTTTTCGACTGCTCGACTGCTGTACACTGTGGGTCATATCTGGAACGAAATGCTCTATGATTGCATGCGAATTTCCTACGAGCGTAGATATCCCTGGCCCCACACTCTGCACTGCTGCTGTACTATGTAAGGGGACCCGCTGACGACATGACGTTGCGAAAGCAACAGGTGTGCGCACACGGGAGGTAGCCAAGGTTTCGATACGGATACATATCTTGTCGCTTCGTTCCGTACCCACACCTCCACACCCCCACACCCCCACAACCCACCCTTTCCCTTTCCCCGCGCTAGTCACACACATACCCTTTCGTGTACCCCGTAAATTGCTGATATCCCTTCGTTCGTGCAAATCTCACGACCCCACCCCATGTCCACAATGACTGCAATTGTTGTTCAGGGGCGTTGCCAGCCAGTGATCAAAACGGTCACCGGCGAAGGTTTCCTCAGCTTGGACCCGGACGGGGGTGAAACGTTTCGGTAAGACCTGACTGCCCGACCAAGCCCGACAGGCAAGGTGTTTTAGCATGTAGCCTCTCCTCTCCCTGTTGCATGAACCAATATAATATTGTGCATCATGTGCCTATTATGGCGACAGTCCCCCCATTTTTCGTGGTAAGACGTTATTCAAATAAAAAATACAAACAGCATTCGTCGCGAAATACACTTTCCAGTGCACTTTTTGTACAACTACTGTACAACCATCCAGGGTCACGCAGGAGCAGGTAAACACCGGGCCTTTTTTCCTTCGTACGTTGGTTTCGTGCCCCACCTTCCTCCTGCAGTGTGTGCTGAGTCTTTTTTTTTTTTTATCACGAGAAGGATTCAGCCGCTCCTTTCCATCGGTGCTAACGTCGAAGTTTGGTACTCACGAGAGCTTTTCTGCTTTGTTTTTTGCTTTCACCAGCAAATTTGTAATTTTTCCATGTTTTATGCGAAACACTGGCGGCGCTGACCCCCTCGTTCGCTCGCCCCCAGAATATATTCCCCGCTTACAGAACGGGAATGCCATTTTGCGAGACCGCACAAAATGCTTCGAAACCACGTTCATTCTCTGTGTTCCTATGGCTCTCGGCTGTAGCACAAGCCCTCATTCGTTGCACTGTGACCGGTGGTTGCCGAAATATGGCCTAGAATGGTGTCAAAGCACGCCTCGGCGGTGTCGTATAGGCATATTTGCGACACCGCGCGAAACGTGCCCAATACACCTCCAACGGTCGCGAAACTAAATGCCAAATGTCCCCATCGCGCCCAGCTGTCATGAAAGTCGCCGTTTGGCCCAAAGTGACACGTTGTTGCCGACATACACGTAGGCCAAAAGGAAACGGTATGAATCGCGAAGAAGTTGAGCTCCATGGAAATGGGCTTCATGAAGTTCATTCACTTTCATTCTTGCCCTTGGCATTCATAGGCAGTTTTTTCGGTGTCCCAACTCCTACTGTGAAACCGAGTCTCTACCCGTACGGCGTGCAAGATACAATGTTTCACTGTCGTATCCCTGTATCCCTGCGTGGCAACTTTGGATGTTCATATAGGGGATTATCTGTGTCCGAGGTCCGGGTGTGAAACCGAGTATTCACTCCCCGCTCCCTCGCACATGCTTCCTTGGTTGGATTGCATCAGGAGTATGAAAAAGCGGGGCGTTATCGCCGAAGATCTTTCTCACTGTCGGTTTCGACATGGCTTCCTCGTCGAGGGAACCGATACGTATCTGATACCGAAAACCCTTCGTGTTCAGGACATCAGCAACGCGACAGTATTGAAGAATTGGATGTGAAAGTTCTGCGAACCCAATGCAACAATCCAAGTTAAAAGTGGTTCCGATCGGTGAAAAAATGGGGCTCTATGGAAACGGGCCTGACAAATCCACGCCTTTTGTCCATGCCGTTTACGGCAGATCTTGTGACGATAGGCGAGGAGAAAGACATGTGTATGTCAACTCACCTCGGGCTCCCACACATTCGCCCTTCTCCGAAACCTATACACTGTCCGAAGCGGTTGCTGACCCGCACGATCTTGGTGACGGTGCCCCGCTGTGGCGTTGCCGTCGTTGACGCCCTCCGATGCGCTCGGTGAAGGGGCTTTGACTGTCCACCCCTCCCACCCTCCTTACATGTATTGCTTATGGACACTGAGGGTTGCGTGTCTCCCTCACCCCCGTAGGCAAGTGAGCCTACGTAGAACTCGAGAACAATGCTGTCGCCTTGGGAGACACACGTGAGACGGTGGAGGTAAAGAGCAGCCATCAAAGGGGACAGGCAGCCTGGACGCCCGCAACGTCGATGCCATGCGCATCTCCGCGCGTTTTGGGGGACGTCCTGTCGGTTGGGCCCTCAACTCAGCCAGGGGCAGGGTAGGGAAGGCCCCAGCTCTTCGTGGGCATGCGCCTCGCCATTTTCACCGGTGTCGTAAATAGCACTACCGTAAAATAATAGAGCAGAGGCTCAAATTCTCACGAAATGTATAAAAGGCATTTATGCTGGGCTCTCGTCCATGGATAAAGATGGATTTTCCTATCCTAATAGTAAGTATATATGAAAAATCATAGCTCAACATCAGCGTGGATCCTCGCCTATTCTCTAGATCACAACCTGTCTCGACAACAGCAGTGAGTGGCTATGAAAAACGAACCTGGCGTCGCCGCGATTCTGGCTTTCCCATCTCCGGGCCCGTTTGGTAACATAGGTGTGACAGCCTGCCTATTAAGGTCTGTCCCAAATGGCATGAGTGGGGGGGGTGATACGAGGCTCCCGGGGAATTGTTATTGGGTAGTGTGATGAAATGGTTGGGGTCAACGACACATGATGTCACGAAATATACACTCCGGAGCAAGGATGAGCGAATATTGTCCGACTTTTGCCAACATTTCGATTCGCCTGTGACGTAGAAGATCCAAGTTCTGTGGCAGCTGGAATGGTCGGCTTGGTGAGCTCGGGAAAGAACGCAATGACATGGCGATGGCACCACCCAATGGCACACAACAGCACCACCACCACCCCCACCGCCACTGCCATCGACAAAACACGACGACCGAAATACATCATTTTCGTTCGGGTTGCTGCTCCTTCTGAATCCCTCAGGTGCGATTCCACCCAAGCCGGTGGAGTAGCGATTTTACAAGTTCTAAACCTCCGCAGCAACGAACGTTCCGGTGAGATGTTGCGGCTTTCGTTCTTATAGGAAGATCGTCTCACTAATGGTGTGAATAGGACCTAGCCGAAATGCATCCCGCCTTCGTGTCCGGTTCAACGCGCCGGGGTCATCCGCAGTTCACCTACCGACCTGTTGCGAATGTTCTTGCTTCCCGTGACACCAATGTCGTGCCTGACGTACGGTAGGCCCCGCCTAACGCACCGCGATGCTTGGGAAACGCCGTCTTCGTGTTTCAGCCCTATGAGGACTTGACGGGTTGCACGTTGCATACCCTAGGGCGACAACCCGTGTTTATCTTGGGTCGGAGTTGGCGAAAGCCATGATATAATCCCCGATTCTTGGATAAACGTGTGTCCGCCCCCTAGCATGTGTACCTTTGAAGAGCCCTGGAACCTGTTCGCATTAAGTGCGGATCTCTGTCTGTGATTTTCGGTGCCTCAACGCAAGTGCTACGTTTCGCATTCCTTGCAACTCATGTGGTAGGTTGCTCGTTGCCTTGTTCTGTGAACATGTTTGCCGAGAAATGGCACAATTTCCGTTGGAAAGGAAGATGGACGGTCGGAGAGGTTTCTGAATGGGCATGGGAATGCGATATTGAAATTTGGCTTGGAATTAATACACAAGTTGCTTGGATGAAGCTGCATCTTTATATTTCCAACGTGTCCAATGCCACGTCCACCGATAGCAATCCGTGTTCAACATCGTGACTCGTTTCGCGGTTGGCTGCTTCGGGTATCGTGTATTTTCGGCCTTGTTGTCAGCCGAGAGATCTTGGTGCCTCAGCACGGTCTGATGGATATAGCCCGCGTGACAGACGCGGCGATTCTACCTCGACGGTAAGCACCACCACATCGCACGTTCCTAAGCGTTGCCCACTTCTACTCTGGGTGTTTCGATTCAGGGCCTATTCCTTCGTCGCTGGGAGTAGGGCGAGCTCTGCAGCTGGTACTCCTCAACAGCCACCAACTATCGCCAACTCTTTCAGGTGCCATTCCACATCAGCTGGTAACCCTGATGGCGCTACAGAAGCTTCGTCTTGAGCAGAGCCAGCTTACCGGTGAGAGGGAATCGGTCCTGCCTTCGCTTGTACGACGAGGGTTCAGCAAAATGTGGTAGCGTTTTTACCAGAGCTTCTCGTTATTCTTTCCTTTGTTTTCAAGGCCTCCTGAAGCAAAGGTCGTAGTGTTGGTATGCTGGGCGCCTACTACCGCACCCGCTAGCTGAGATCCCCGCTGGTCATCGAAACCTGCTGTCATGGTGCCTATAGGACTGGTATGTCGTATCACCCGCTCATGATTGCCGACGTCTTCGAGCCAGAACGTTTTCACGCGATACTTGGGTAACGGTCGTTTTTGTCACCTCATGGTTGGACGAGGTGGCGACACACCACCGCTTTCTTTCCAACTTGGGTACTCATGTTGATGGAGGGCTCGGCATCGGTAAGTGAACCAACGAGAGGCGAACGCCACAATCACCACGGAGAAAATGCGAGCCCAGACCAAAGTTGATCCCACGGGTATAGAGCGTCGCCAGGGTTAGTTTCTGTTCTAAATAGGCGAGCCAGCTTTGCAATATCTGGCACAACCCGTGCAGATGATTCCACCCCACGCCCAATATATCGTGACGACAGTGAACGAGTGGTGAGCGACAGTTTTGATTGATACCCGTTGAAGATGCACTCCAACGACGTTCCCAATTTCACACATATGCACCACGGAATATGGATTTCGTCAAGGGGCCAGGCCATAGGCGTCATGGCCACGGTGGTTGCTACAAGATAAAGCAAATATTGTTGTGAGATTAATGATTTACCCTGGAGTTGGCCCTGATGTTCACGCGCGCCAAGACAAGAATGTCCCTACCGTACGGAGCATGTGCGGTGGGTCCTGGACTACCCATGTAGACCCAGCGCCTGTCGCATTTGAAAGTATTCAAAGCCGATAGGTCGAGAGAGCCAGGGTGGCGGTCTCGGTAGGCTCACCATCTGTCCCTACAAGGTGATTAACCTTTGCCATTTTTGCATCCTTTCCGGAAATTTCTACCGTTGATGTGTATATTGGTATATTGCCAGGCTAGTGCTCAACTGTGTAGTGTATGAGGTCTAGATGCAACGGGTGCACGAGGCGATGCCGAAAGTAGGCTCAACACGAGAAAAACGGTGATTCGCGAAACCGATGGTGGGGTCATTTGCGTTGTGAATGGAATATTTCCTGCTAAATGAGAACGAATATCGCGCGCGGTTGCAAGATGATCTCCTCGACCATATCGTATCGGTCCCCAGGCGCGGGGGCCTGAACGATAAACATTAGCATTCGGCAGGACAAAAGCATGGATTCACGTGTTAGCCGATTGGACTATTTGACCCCCTCACGTTCCGCTGGGCTCATCGACTGAGCCAATAATATCGGAAGCAACCTTCCGCCACAGGCACAAATCTGAAAACGTCGTCATGCACGTGCCGGATAAACATTTGGTGTACCTTTCGATCCCACTTTTCCTCGCCAGTTCCATTGGTGGTCGGTCGGGCGAGCTCGATTCCACACACCACAGTATTTCGTGAAAATTGCTGCGGGTTCTAGAAATTGGCTATGACATGCATCGAAGAGATGCTGGCCGGACATTTTCTCCCATCTACATGGAGATGTCGACGAGAAACACCTCCTCGTCCCAGGCCAATTCAGCGGAACTGTTGCCGAGGCGCGCTCGGTCACGCATGCTATCGCCAACCCCCTCTGGTCTTGTTCCTGCATAGATGGGAAGGTTGGTGGTGCTACAGGAGCTACCGCACCTTGGCGAGAACTACACCCCTTTCCGGTGAGACTGTGTTCGTTTTTGTTACGCTATCGTCTGAGTCGAAGTTGTTCCTCGATCGTGGTTGTGGTCCAAGTGCACAGTGTCCTACAGTAGCAGCAATATCGGTACCGAATAGTGCAGACAACATGAGGTGGGACTTGTTGCAGGTACTGAGGTGGACCGAATGTCTCCCTACCGTTCACGGGCTGGTTGGTGGCAACTTTTACTTTTGAATTCTAAGCGCCTAGGACGATGTCGGCGTGTTTGCCCGGCGTGCGATACGACATCTTGAAGTGTTCGCTGGTCGCTGGGAAAGTGTCGGACAGTAGGCCGGACGGATGACAACGGTGCGACCGTTCATATGACGGACAATCAATTTGGACAGGTACCGCCAAAAAAATACGCGAGAATGACCGATTCTGCACTACCTCGATCTATGCAGTACTGTTGGCGGCATGGTCCGACTCGTGACCATGCAGTGCTCGAATGGCGCAAGTGCTTAGAGAACTGCATGGACAAGGGAATTCGGCCTTACATGCTCCTGAAATGCGAATAGCACTGCCAGAGGAGGTTCAGGGCTGCCATTGGTTCCAACCCGATGGTGACGTCAACCTTCAATACTGTCTCGTGCCCGGCCCTGTCGACGTTTTTTTTTTTCGTTCAAACGTATGTTGCACGGGAATGCCATCACTAACTCCCTCAGGCGGAGTTCCACCGGAGCTGGGGATGCTGAAGGCGTTGCAGTTGCTGGGCCCACACGAGAATCAGCCTGCGAGTAAGACGGGGAATGACTGATGATCGTTTCGCTAGCAAAGGACGCGTGCGCCGCTCGGAAGCACTCCAACATGTTCAACTAGCCCGCCCGCCGGTTTGTCTTGCTCGGCGGCAACGTCTTGCGACGTGTTGGTAGATTTGCTTGGTCTTCTGCGAACCATCCATATGTGGGAATAAACTTTTTCGTTTTGTGTCGGAATTTGTATTTATCGCACCGATTGCCTATGCCAATCAGCGGTGTGCGATTACCGACGTTTCTCGCAAGAGACAATCTCATGTCAAGCCTTGTTTAGTGCCTTTTACATGCCCTCACGGCTTGGTCTGGGAAGAGGACAACTTACACGATCCTGCACCAAGTGGATGGCAAACTTGTCGGATTCAGTTTCGTGCACGATTTCTTGCCTCCTGGAAACGACGAGGGGGAGGAGGCAATTCTTTCCAGGGGGATGAACGCAGTGAGACGGAAATATATTCTGCGCGGTATCACTTGACCTTCTTTTGTTATGTTGTCGTATTGAAAGATAAACCAGAACTTGTGGCAGCTAACAAAGCACGTTTCGGGCCGCCGCAGGTCAGGAATACTCCCGAAGGTTTCTACAGGCAAACGCCAGGTGAAACAACGATGCAAATAGTTGTCACCAGAAACCTACCGGACGGGAACGCTATGCAAGTAATTGGCTGCGGCAGCTACCGCGTGAATATAATAGAAAAATTCGATTCAAATATTGGTCGCCAGAAATCTATCAGACGAGAGAGCAATGTCTTCCTGGTCGTTCGAGGACAACATCTACCCATCGTTGCGGCGGTCCACCAGAGACTAATATGTTTGTGTGAATTTGGCAGTTGCGGGCGCCTTTGTTGGGGTTGTGAGCCTGGTGTCTATCCCCAACGACAACCTCAAGGAATAACACGCGGTCCAGGCGAGCATCCCACACGATTTGTCCAACGCCCAGGTCTTCAAAACCGCTACCAGGCAGAGGGCGTCGATACCTTTTCGGATTGGACACGGTGGAGGTCGAATACTCGAACGATGTTGGTCCGGCTTTTTTCGACGTATCATCGTTGACCTGGTCGACCGGCCTCTTCGACCTCTGTGATACTGTCTAATACCTCTGCTTTCGTGGTTGGGGGCTGAGCGTACGATATCGGATGGTAGAGCCCACGCCGGCAGTAGAGACAACAGGGGCGAGAAACAGTTCCGAGTGAAAAAGAGAGGTCGCCCCGGTGGTCTAGTGGTAATAACCTCGAAACCGCTGGTTGCAAAGTCGTGAGTTCGAATCCCCATGGGGTGAAAAATTTACAACTTTGTGGGTTCCGCGAAAAAGCTGAAAAGCTCGTGGTTACCAAACTTCGACGTTAGCACCGTTGACGAGGGAAAGGGACGGCTGGGCCCTTCGCGCGATAAAACCAAAATTTCATCAAGTACCGCAGGAGGAAGGTGGGGCACGAAAAGAAAAAAAGAAGGAAGGAAAATCTCAAGTGTTAACCCCCTCCTGTGTGACCCCTACATGGCTGTCATTGTTCGAAAAAAATACGCCGAAAGGTATAGTACTCTACATACACGGAAAAATGTAGTAGACTACGCGTCGCACCACGACAAATGGGGGGACTGTCGCCAAAATATTTAGGACGAAAACACAAATATGCAGAAAACTCCAACCGTAGCTCCTACTGAAACCAAGCTTATTATCTTCTCAAAGGCTACTGACGGCAACCATGAGGTCTACCAAACGTCTACCAAAGGTCTCCGGCAGCCCACGTATTTTGAGACATTCCTGAGCGTCCGTGGTTTGTTTTGCCCGCGAGGGCGCCTCGCGCGCGATTTACCTGTGTCTGTTGGAAACCTGTTAGGGTCTGTCTCGTAATCCTTCCCTACTTGATGTGACGGCGGCCGGTGTGCTCGCCCAGCACGCTTCACATTTTTGACCGGGTCCTTCGTCCGAAAGGGCTCGGTTGCACCAAAACCTTGAACCCATAAAAGGCCTCTCTGACTCGGGAGTGTTGACAACGGCATGTTCTTCCGCAACATGGACCACCGGGTCGTGAAGGTTGGCAGACGCGGCGTTAATCAACGACATGGGTACATTACTACTGAGTTAACCGATCGTCTGCCTCACCAAGTCGATTCTGTCTTCGTTCGACGCATGTTCCGCATGCGTGCCGCCGGCAACGTGTCCAGGTGTGATCCCACCGGAGCCGGGAGGACTGGCGGTGCTGCAGGCGCTAGGTCTTCACGGGAACCAGCGCGCCGGTAAGTCTTAGCGGCCTTCGCTGTTGGTAGCATGCCAGCCCCCTACGTCCTGTTCCTACTTCTCCGTACCACGCACGCCCTGTGCCGGCAGTCTTGCCGGTAAACCTTTGTGTGCTCCAGTTGGCACACAGGGTAAGTACCTTAGCGATTAAAAGTGTGGCCACTTCTTGAAAAGTTCAATCATTTTTGTGATGGATAAACGACCTCGACAAGACTTGTAATGCCTTTCCAGCCGAACGATGTTGCGTGCAACTATCTGGGATTTGCATATATATATTTCACGGTTCGTTCATTACGACCTGTGGTCGTACCTCTCTACGGGACGTGTGCGATCGCTGTCCCTCTCATTTACATCGAGGGCAGCGACCTGTCCCTCTTGTTTACGACGAGGGCGGCAATCTTGCCCTTGTTGTTCCTTCGGTGGTAAGCCCGCACCGCACTACACCAAAACACCTGTAGAAAGACAGCGAGAATCAACATGCGCGAGGCCTACGCGCGTGTCCATGTCTGGATCCCTCGGACGATCATCTCATGCGCAAGTTCCGCTTTCTCGTAGAAGTGGCCATGTACGGATATTGCACGTCCCGCACCACTTGGCGCTAATCGCCATGTAGGCGGTACTTGGCAAGGTTCCGGGCCCATCTCCCGAGTCCGCACTCCATTCGATCCATCAGCTCCTGACTCGGCTAGATGTCAGTCATTGGTTTGGGAAAATTACCCCAACCGTTGCCTTTCCATGCTCCTGCACAACACTGAGGAGTTCGAGAATGCAATGCACCCCAGCGGGACTAACCAGCAACACCGCCGATTGACAGGTCGATAGTTTCATATGTTTCCAATACCTGGTTTCGCTAACTTTGTCAGGTGTGATTCCACCGGAACTGCAAAGGCTGACTGCGCTGACGGAGCTCGGCCTTGGCAACAGTAGACTTACCGGCAAGGGCAAAGGGGAAGGGTCTCCGCTCGCTAACATGGGGCCATTGGCACGAATTTTGATCTTGGACTCATCTACCGTTCTGCAATCCCCATGGACATTACTCTCGTGATAATCCCGTGGAACCCCAGTACAAGCCGGCAGCGAAGTTATCGCACCAGTTGGCACTACCCCACAAGGCGGATGTGAACGACGCCGACACCCTTGCACATGGTTGCGTGCGATTGGTCAACTCGACGCAGACAAAAGGGCGTGAGGTGTCGCCAACCGCCCCCGATCTAGAAAGCTCGCCACTTCTGTATTCCGCGCAGGTTTTTGACGAACTCCAGGCTCCTTAACTTTAGGGATAATTGCCGATACACGTGATGCACCTTGAGGCTTCTACAACATCTCAAACCCAGGTGTGTAGCGTTTGGTTAGCAGCAGATTCGGCGTTTTGCTGCTGCTATCTTCGAAGTGCAGGAGTGATACAATACGCACTTGTTGTTTTCGTTCGGGCCCATGTCGCCACCAAATTGGTCAGGTGCGATTCCACCGGAGCTGGTGGGACCGGAGGCTCTATCGGCGCTACACCTGGAACACAGTCGGCTCCCAGGTGAGATTGGTCTCTGTGTGTAGTCAATCAAACGGTTGATGGGAAATCATTTGACTCGATCCACCGGTGTACCTTCTTCGTTGTCATCAGCACCATGGCATTGGAACCGATGCACACGGCGCGACACTCTGACCTATGCATAGCTCTTGGGACACCCGTTGGTCTTGCTATAGTATTTCCCCTTTGGTCATTCCCCAGCAGAGAATTTTCTCGGAAATCACGGAATACCATGGTATGCATTTCGTCTTTCTGCATTCGGTCGGTCGAAGTTGTTTTTGTATCCGTGCACCGGTGAGGCTCCCCATGGGGGTCACTCACCCATCGTTTTCGGCATGACCCCATACTTGAACGCTTTTCCGGGTAGTGCAGATTTATGACTCCCACGTGACACGTTGTATTGGTTCGAAGGTTGTTTCGGTTGCTGCTTGTCGAACAAATATAAACTGCAGTTCACATATGTTGATCCAAAGGAAAACCTGAAAGCGGCGTTTCGTCGAATGGAAGTTGAAATTTCAGAAATGATCGTTCCCACGTAGACTGAAGTGGGATTGCTCAAATTCTGGACCTCAGGCACGCGAACGTGTGCGATGAATGGCATCGTTCGTTGAAGTGAAAGGTGTATTTCCTTGTTGTTGGCAGAGTTTTTGCCAGACCTATTGGCACGGTGTTTCGGAAAGGGTTGTTGATACCTACAAATCCGTAGGAATCACAGTGCCCATTGTGGAATGACTTGTTCTGTGCATGAAATGAGAAGGCGGACGGATGCGGTTGTGTTTTCGTCCGATCGTTTCTGGGCGCCAGTCTGCACCTTTCGGTACCCGCTAGGGTTTCATATGTGGAGGGGGAGCTGTTTTTGTTTCTTTCATTTTTTTCCACGCTCCCCCTTGCGATGCTTCCCCTTCACTTACGATTCGGCCAGTCCTGCCCCCCGTGATGTGTTTCTCACGACTATGAGCTTCTCACGCCGAAGTTTCTTTCACTCCAGGCCAGAGAGATTGAAACTCGCAACTAGAAATTCCAAGGTTTCGAGGTACCAACTGGCGACCGAGTATGGAGTGTCACTCTGACGCATGGGTTACACCCCCCAAGAGATTGAAAAACCTCAGCACTTTATCGCGATCGTGTCTGCTTTGAGGGGCGTGTACATTGTTGTAGAATAATTGGGTATTCCGCCCTAGCTTCGTCAAGTCCATTTAGAGGAGACTTCCAAAGCGCTTTGCCTCTCTGGGGAGAGCCCGTCCCTCCTGTAGCTGCCTGACGCTTGGGCACTGCGTTTTTTCTTTCATTCAAGCATCCACGCACTTCGACGGTGGGAGAGCGTCGTTCTACGTCTTACGACGTAACCCACATGTAAGTCCCAACGCTTCTGACAGATTGAGCAGCTAGTCCTGAATCTACGCACAAGCTGCACAAACGGCCTGCTACATTCTACAGGTGTGTTCCAACTGCAGCTGCTTCCGCCTTCAAATAGACCTAATCCTACGGGGCGAAAGTTGCCGACGGCCTAAAGTACTGTCCGAGCAGACGCGGTGCAACTCACACCCAGGAAAAAAGGATGTGGTTTAAGAGTTGAAATTTCCGGGGGGGGGGGGCTACAAAGCATGACGTTCGGTAGTTGAGAGAAATCGGTAAGGGAGGGCTGGCTACATCTGGGACGGCGACGATGCGACATTACCCGTCCATGGCACTCGGTAACCGCGGCTTCGGCCCCGTCCACATTGGGTACAGGTTGGGGCAGCTGCACCATTTTTCGAGTTTAGAATCATGCCGATTTGGCGACAATGTTTGGCGCGAAACACGCCAACCGGGTATTGTCAACCCTGCGTACGCTTATTGGTCGGGTTTGGGTGGCCCATTCGGGTCTAGAAACCCATTCTAGCCGACTTTGGAAGCACAGCCATGTAGGACATGTTCATGTTTATGCTCTGCCGCCGATAATGGGTTCGGCCCTGCCCGACCCGCGAGGGAGCGCGATCAAGTTAGAAAAGCAGATTTAGTGACACAACGGCGGAAGGCCGAACACCACCGTTGACAAGCGGGCCTAGAGTGAGATTATTCCATACCCCGACAACAACGATGATCGCGGCCTGCGAACGTGATGTCCTGCTGTTTTTCGGATGGTATGTCGGCGGCGATAATGTGCCAGTCTGAAAAGGGTGGTCCTTATGATTGTTCACCTGGACCGTTCCTGAGGTTGTCTCCCTCAGGAGTTAGGACAGCTGGAGGAACTACGATATTCCCCCTTCACGCGAACAATTTGAACGGTGAGTTGTTCGGCGGTAGCAAGAACTGAACTTCACCGGTTATGTCGCAAATTCCTGCCGCTATGATTTGCTTGCACTACATCTCACAAATCGAGTTTCGTACGCGGAAACGTGTATTGTGAGACCTGATATGCCAACCAGTAGCCCCACGTCATTCACGCAATTTGTGAGGACCATCTCACGAAACAGCTGCAGGTTCGCGAAAAGGTTGCATGCGGTGCACAGTGCTGTGACAGGGTGCGGACAAACTATGGAAAACAGGCTGAAGGCATCGCATCGAGTGAGCACAGTCTCGTTTTTCGCGTTCCTCGTCCACGGCGCACGAAATGTGCCACGTGCTTCGCCCGCTGAAACTGGCTGAACACCTAATTTTGCCGTTTTCAAACGGCAAGCCGGTACTACTTACACGGCTGATATATCCTTCTGTTGGCCATCGGACGCTTCTTACTTTGTCTACAATGTCACTAAATATACGTCTTTTTCAATCGGTGCCATTCCCGGATATATCCACCACCCAGCAGCGTTTGCCTCAACCCCAAGACCACGTCTTCCACGGTAAAACATCATGTACTTGACTTGAACGTTTCGGGATGCGTGTGTGTAGCACTGCTCTAGAAATCAAAGCCGTGTTAGTCTGAGACGAAAGCAGACTCACGACATGGACGGTATTGCCTAAAGGCTCGTTGTTCGACCTTTTTATGACGGTGGTCACACGTCACCCAGAGGATCATACACCCAACGACAACGATGAATATGCAACCCACGCAACCGATGTGTACCCAATGCACGCCGTTGGTAAATTCTATGTTATGTTGTTAGGAGACGAGTAGGACGCCAACCGGATACTCTCCAACACGTACACCGTGCAGTGGTAATTCCTTGGAAGGCGACGAACGGCCCTTGGCGTTATGCGCTTCTTGGTGGAGAGCAGATTGAGTGCAGCTGGAGGGTCAGCCATAAACGGTAGGTCTTCCGATTTAGGGATTGGGCCATCATTCACGTTTCATCTGCATCTCCGTGGGTAGTGCTGATGAGCTGAGTTGGCGAGCAAAGCCCAGAACTGAATGTGGTCGTCTACCTCGTAGGACGAAGCCGGGTGTTCGGAAAGGTGTGAAGGGGACTGGGTAGTCAGTTTTTCCCG